CTATCTGTTCTTATTGCAAAGCTATTTTTTAACATGTTTTGAAGCTCGTTGATTAGTACAGCTTTCCTCACAGAGGTTTTGGTATTTTGAAGGTTGTGACTGAAATTAACTGGAAACCCACAGGGCCAGAAGGCAATTATTATAAAACCTGAGAATATGTATTTGTGAATCCTGAAAGGAGCCCCTAACAAGAGATTGAACAGCTATGGGGCTTGGAAATAAGGGGCACCAAGATGGCTCAAGAAGGCTTAGTCAGCAGTGATGAAGAACTAAAGGATGCTTTTAGAGAAAAGGAAAAAAGGGAAATGGTTCAGGAGGGAGGATCAGAGAGGAGGCAGAGTAACTGTGGAGCCATGGAGATTTTGATTCAGAATACTAGGGGGTGATAAAGCTGAATCAAAAGGTCTTAGCCCTGACTTGCATAGAGAGCTTACACCAAAGACCAGGGAAAGGAAAAAAAAAAAGGGAAAAGTAGAGTTCTTTAAGCTCTGTGTACTGCATGAACTGAAAAGTAAAAGTACAGCCAAGACCAGGTTTGAAGAGTGTGGTTTTTAACACAGAAAACTCTGGCCATCTCTTAAACTTAGGGAATCTGTAGCCAAAACAGAAATCTGCTAAGGTGAAGATAATGCAAACAGCTCATTATTTTCACACTATGCATTTGATGACGTTGGTGTCAGACACCATGATACTTCTGTTTTCCACCTCTAGCAAGATTTTAGTAAAAACAAACAAACAAAAAAACCTTTAAATGCTATAAACTATTGCTGAGAGTATATGCTCCCAAATTGAATGTAGCATTAATTCACTTCATCACACCAGGTATGGTTCTTTGCAGTAGGAAACATCAGGATCTCTACCCATACCAGGTTTATAGACCTCTCAGATAATTACACAGGAGCCCAGTTGGGTTCTGAACAGGTGTGTCTCCCTGGAGTTCATGAGCATTTGAAAGGTGCTCTGTAATTGTGTACTCATCACATTAACCATGATGTCCTATGTCTCCCAACCCAATACAGATAGAGTGGAGCAGAGCTGCATAAAAGATAGATAGACATTGTATAGCCATGATTTCTGTATAGCTATGTATAGGTCACTGTCATGAACAAGATATTGGGACTTTTCTTTCCATAATCCTTCAACTGCTTTTCCTAGTGGAGTGGCTGAGAACATTAGCCGAGGCTGACGTGGCCTCCGTAGCTAGTCTTCATTCTCCACTGGGCCTTGGTCATCTAAGCAATTCCTTGATGAGTCTTCATAAATGCAGACCTTAGAGAAAGTGACCTCTCAAGTGTCCTGGAACATCTACTAACACCATGTGGTGCCAGGAGACCTGTCACTTACCACAAGTCTTTAACTTCTTCCTTAGAGTTGATTGATAGTCTGTAAGACTGACAGCTCTTACTAAACTTAGAAACAAATGACTCATTGGACCTTTTTCAGCCATGCATTTGTACCAGAATAGAAAAGAGGAAAATATTTCGCACATCTCTTGGGGATGTGGCTCTAGGACAGCCAATTCTAAGACCCCAGGGTCTATACTGGTCTTCCAGCAGTCAAGAGAGAGTTGCTCTGGGCATCTATATGCATAGTGTTTCTCTTACCATCACTCTGCCCACATTGATTGAGGTGGTTTCTTTTGCCAGTTTCAGAACAACCGGGGAGCCATGGCCAGGCAGGCTGCAGTCAGGGCAGAGGTAGGCTGCCTGAGGACTCTCCACTGGCGTCTTTTTTCAGTCACTGCATGGCTTCTTTAGCCCTCGGGGAGAATTTGTGTAAAGGACTGCCTTCAGGGTAGACAGTTAGCTGTAAATCTCTGTTACATTAAACCTAGGATCTGTGATACCCAGAGTATCCTACTGACTAAAAGAACAAGAAAGAAAATGTCATCATAAATGCTCATCGGTAGATTAGGTAGTAGAGCCTAAAACTTCAGATCGACCCCATTTGGAGCAGTACTTTGTGGATTTGACATTTTATGGCAAGAATAAAACATATAAAAATATGGAAGTAACTTTTATAGGTTTATTAATCTTGTGTATATCTGAATCATACTGTTCAGGCTTTTCTATTGGCCAGGGACTCTGTTCAGTGAGCTGTGCTTCTGCTATTGTTTTTAGAAGGAGAAGCAGCACTGAGCCCTCCTGCCCTATCCCCAGTGGTACGTTCAACAGCAAGATCAGGATCCTGGATGAGGAATATGCTCTGGGTTTATGTAATATGGCTATACACTGAGAGCACATAACCAGTCCGTAAAAGATCAGACCTAATTCTCACCCAATTTTTGCTCTCCCGTTATTTTTACTATTCTCATCCACGCTGCTACCTGTTCTGTGCCAGGTAACCCCTACCACTCTGTTCATTCTCCTCTTTATTTTTCCATACTGACTTCCAGAGCCCCCTCAAAATTTCCCACTTTTTATATTCTCTGACCACCTGCTCTCCCAACCTCTGCAAACAAAGATAAGATGCATTTTGAGTATAGTTGTGGGTTGGGAGGAACTTGGGGGAATATTTAGGCATAATATCCCTATCATGGGTTGTAAGAATGTATGAAGATAGATGGGAGATGCAAAGAATAGTTCGGGGGACCTCCTTCATCTATGTAGTGGGACTACATCTAAAGACAAAATGTTTATATCTTCCCCTCCTACACCAATCACATTGCTGGCTCATAAGAAGTGCTAAGTACAAGTTCTGTTGATTTTTTTTTTCAATTTCAGTATGTTAAGTAGAACATGAAAGAGTGATCACCCAGTATTCTCTAAGGCACAGTCAACATGATAAAAAAAAAATGACTACAGGGTGCCTGGGTGGCTCAGTTGTTTAAGCGACTGCCTTCGGCTCAGGTCATGATCATGGAGTCCCAGGATCGAGTCCCACATCGGGCTCCCTGCTCAGCAGGGAGTCTGCTTCTCCCTCTGACTCTCCCCCCTCTCATGTTCTCTCTCTATCATTCTCCCTCTCAATAAATAAATAAAAAAAATCTTTAAAAAAATGACTACAAAATTATTTTAGGCTGTGAGTGTGCTTTTAAATTAAGATAGGAGAGTGGATGAGAACTAAGTTTGTGTCTAGGCTACCTATGTTAAATATTAGTCTTGCCACTTACCAGTGGCGTGACCTTGGGCCAATTAACAATTTCTAACCCTCATTTCCTATTTCTTCGAATAGGAAATAATGATGGTATATACCGCTCAGTGTCACTGTAGGGATTAAATGAGTTAATCCACATAAGATCTCTAGTATAATGCCTGGCACACAATAAATACGTTATAAATGTTTGCTATTCTTATTTGATTGATTCTTCTGCTCTGTTTGAGAGACGGTATGATCCTGCTATATTTGGGAGCCCTAATTATTAATACTTTCAACGAGGATGAATGTGTATGAAGCTAAATTTACCCACCACATCACTATTCTTTGATCTCATTAGCCTTATTATCAACATGCATTCACCATTCACCAAATGCCTACTATGCATATATCCATAAGCCACCTGTTGATGCTACTACAATATGATACCTAAAATTTCTCCTTGCCACATTATATAGCTGCAGAAAGAGCAATGCGTAAGCAATCTCAAGCTTCCTGATTTTCAAGAATGAGTTTTTATTTTGCATCTTCTTGACTAGAAACTTTTTGCAAAAACTCCTACCCAATGATTGCTTTCCTCATTACTTCATCTAACTGACCTAGAATACAGAACGCTGGCAAATAGAAAAAGAAGAGAAAAAAAATATAGTGCCATGAGAATTCTTTTCTGACATTAGCTCTGTTTTTATTTCAGCAAAGTAACAACATCGTTTGTCTTTCCAATCATACTTGACTCCATTACCCGTGAGGCCTATTATTTTCTCAAGAGTTATATCAAACTGCTTCCAGACATCCATCATTACATCATTGTATCTGCTGCATTTAGTGGCACAATGCAAAGGTTTCACATTAGAAAAGACCTTCAGACACAAGCTGTTCATAAGAAATACCAGTCATAAATGTTAACTGACATTAATTTTTTCAGTATACTTAAGGTGTTTCTCCTATCAGTGAGTACAGCTAGTAATTGTTCCTTAAAATTTTCTTCACTTTTCAAAGTTTTTATTTCCTTGTAAAGAAAATAATTTTGTATAACAGTGGTGTTTGATTTGCTCAATCATAGTCTTTCTTTGTGTTATCTTCTGAGGTAAAATGTAAAGAGCTTTGCCTCTGTAATATTTTCTCTCCTCTGAGGAGTTTTCGAGGTCAAGATGAAATATGCAGTCTCTTTTCTGACATTGCTGACTCTCTCTTGGCTTGAACTACTTGATTTAAAATAATGCTAAGCTTTGTATTTTCTTATGGCCCTCTCCCCCAAAGTGTAATCCCTGAAAACTCAGAAACTCTCTTCTTCTTCTCTATCTGGAAGTTTTAGGGACAGATGAATGTCTTCTTCCCTGTCTACCCAAAGCTCACAAGGTGCTTAGTGAACGCTCCATGTCAGCAGAAGACTATGAGCATCTGAATGTCTTAAATCTGAGGTTTTTGAACAGATATCTTTTTCTGGTCTGAAATTCCATGTGCAGCCATTTTCACTCAACCAATTCAAAAGAATATTTCTCCCATATTTTCTCAGTTAATAACACATGGGCACACATTTCTATAATATATTGATCAAAGCCCTGTAAGAAGTGTCAAAAATAAACTGAACCTACAACCTCTTCCCCGGAGGAGTTTTACAGGTACAATATTTTTTAATAAAGAATATGCTGATGGCTGACCTTCTGATAAAATGTTACACTTTCCCACTTAGGACCTCTCTTTGGATTCATGCAGGATTTAACCTAGAAGTACCTTTAGGAACCTGATAAGTTATTGCTCCTGTAATTCTCTGTTAATTAGAATATTTGACTAAACAAATGCTTACTTTTTCTTAACTAAGATTTCAAGAATTCTTAGATACATTATTTAAATTCACGTTGTTTTGGTAAATGTTCACACCTTTCTCTTTATTTCTAATACAGGGACCTCCTGGAATACAAGGAGTACAACAGACTCTTGGATATTATAATAAGGTATGGCTTCTCTTTTTCACATCTTATATACACAGACATTTTATGTAATCATATTTTTGAAAAAACACTTATTAATTCCTAACTGCTCAGACTCTGAAACATGATCACATATACTTAATATCTTTCCTCACTGAAAGTATGTTTCAAAAAAATGTATTTTGCTCAGCATCTTTTCACAAAACCAGCATTTTATTTTTATAAATTTTTTATTATGTTATGTTAATCATGCATTACATCATTAGTTTTTGATGTAGTGTTCCATGATTCATTGTTTGCATATAACACCCAGTGCTCCATTCAGTACATGCCCTCTTTAATACCCATCACCAGGCTAACCCATCCCCCCATCCCCCTCCCCTCTAGAACCCTGAGTTTGTTTCTCAGAGTCCATAGTCTCTCATGGTTCGTCTCCCCCTCCGATTTCCCCCACTTCATTTTTCCCTTCCTTCTATCTTCTTATTATTTTTTATTTTTTAACGTATAATGTATTATTTGTTTCAGAGGTATAGTTCTGTGATTCAACAGTCTTACACAATTCACAGTGCTCACCATAGCACACACCCTCCCCAGTGTCTATCATCCAGCCACCCCATCCCTCCCACCCCCCACCACTCCAGCAACCCTCA